GATCTCTTGACCTCGTGATCCGCCTGCCTTGGCCTCCCAAAGTGCTGGGATTGCAGGCGTGAGCCACCACACCAGGCCTACTCAACCTTTTAATCTAGACGGTCCCATGTCAGGGATCCCCATGACAATTCTCCAGCTCAATTATTTATTTTAATAACTTACAGGACTCGGCATATAGTTATCCTCATGGCTATATTTATTATGGTGAAAGGATACAAAACAAAATCAGCAAAAAAGAAAAGATATATGGGGTGAAGTCTGGAAGGAAATGGGCACAAGCTCCAAAAGTTCTTTCCCTGTAGAGTCACACAGAACATGCTTAATTCTCTCAGCAACTAGTTGTGGCAATACATGTGAAATGTCTACAAGGTAAGCTTGTTAGAAATTCAGCATCCGGGGTTTTTATCGGAGGCTGGTCAAGTGGACACCCTTTTCTTAACACACACCAAAATTCCAGACTCCCAGAAGGAAAACAGATATTCACCATGAACCATATTGGTTGTATAAACAACTTGGAGCTATTGAACCATTCTCATCAGTTAGGGTAGTGGGTACCCTCCTGAAATGTAAGTTCCAGTTGCCAGCCAAAGATCACCCCTGTAAGCAGGCTTTCCAAAGTCCATAGGCAAGCCTGCTATGTTAATTCTTCCTTGCACAATAGCTAATAGATCTTTCAAGGTTAACAAGTCCAGAAGCAAACCCCATTCCCTTCTCTAGTCTTTTCATTTTCTGTATCTCAGGATATGCTGACTTGTTTACCTTATGATTAAAAACAATTTTTTGAAGGCTTCCTTTACTTCTCGCTTCCTCTCTCAACCTACATTCAGTCCATCAGTATGTTCTGTTAACTCTACCTTTAAAACACCAGAGTCTGACCACTTCTTATCACTTTTATTACTGCTACCTAGCTGAAGCCACCGTTGACTTTTGCTTGGATTATCACAAACAAACTTCTAACTGGTGTTTCTTCTTCCACTCTTGCATTTCTTGATTTTATTCTCCACATAGCAGCCAGAGTCATTCCTATAAGACTTAAGTCTAATCAGATCTTTGATTTTTTGCTCAAAATCTTCCAAATGCTTCCCTGCTAATGTGGACTAAAAGCCAATATTCCCATCATATTTCATAAGGTCCTTCAAAATCTTTTCATCTCTGCACCTTTCTCACCTCAACCTTATCTTTCCAGCTCTCTGCTCCAACCTCACTTTGCCTCCTTGCAGTCCCTCAGAGATACCAGGCATGAGCGTCTTCATGACTTTTGCCCTCCCTGCTACCTTTAATCACAATATTTTCTTGGCTTCTTTCCCAGCTTCCTTCAGGACTTTGACCAAATGTCGCCTTATCACTAATATCTTTCATAATTACCTTACATAAAACAGTAACTTCTAACTCCTCAAACTGGCATTCCCTTACCCTATTTCGTTCCTAAGCACTGATGATATCATTTATGTTTATTCATTTGTTTGACTTTCATCTCTCCCCTCTAAATGTCATCAGAGCAGGTTCTTTGTTTTGATTTTTGTTCTGTCCCCACAGTTGACCTAGGACAGTTTCGCCATGCATAGGTGCTCAATAAATATTGAATGAATATATTCCTGAATATCATCTGGGATGTAGGTAATGCAGGATTAATGATAATTTCATGAATTAAGTGATTATTAAAAACTCTAATAACTTGGAAATTTTTCAATGCTAAAAATATAATCACCAGTTAATAAAATATGTGTTTCTTTGTGTTTCCTTCATATGACAGCTAGGTGTAAGTCAAAGTTTCCTTGAAAAAGGTGGCACAGTCAAAAGCTCAATTTCATTGTCTACCTGTAAACCATTGCAGATAGATATTATAGAAATGCTTCAAGTCTTTTTACTGTATCTATATCTAGATACAAAGATACACAGAAATATACCTATGTTAGGTAATAATAATATATGTTTATATATGTTATGCATAGTAATTGTTTGTGTGTGTATGTGTGTGTGTGTGTAATTGCCATGACTGTTAAAGCTCAACTCTCAAAAGGCCACAACTAAGTAACGTAGTGAAAATATGTATCATTTCCTTTTCTAAGCATACATTCAAGCAAGACTTCCTAAATTTCAATTATGACTCTGGCACTTTCTAGCTGTGCAGACTTGGACAAATTACTCCAATCTTTCTGTCTATTTCTGCCATTGTAATAATGAATGTAATAATACTTTCTATGTCGCAGGAGTGTGGCAAAGATTAAATGAGATTACCAATGTGATGGTTAACTTTATGTGTCAACTTGACTGGTGAAGAAATGGTAAAACATTATTTCTGTTTAATAACATTTAAATAATGTTTTACCATCTACCAGATGTCTGGGTGTGTCTGTGAGGCTGTTTCTGGAAGAGATTAGCATTTGAATCAGTAGACTGAGTAAAGAAGATCCCAGGGCATAGTGCCTCATCCAATTTATTGAGGGCCTATATAGAACAAGAAGGTAAAGAGAGAGTGAATCAGCTCTCTTTCCTGGAGCAGAAATATTCACCTTCTCCTGCCCGTGGACATCAGAACTCAAGGTTATCTGGCCTTTGGAGTAAGACTGAATTACACGACTGTCCTTCCTGAGTCTCTAGTTTGCAAATGGAAGACTGTGGGACTTCTTGGCCCCCGTAATTGCAAAAGCCAATTCCCCTAATAAATCCCCTTTTATTTGGGTTTATCTATCCTATTGGTTCTGTTTCTCTGGAGAACCCTTGCTTAATAAAATTAATATAAGATTTTAGAACAGTGCTTAGTATATGGTTGACTTTATTAGATATTGACTATATTATCCTAATTCCCATTTATATTGTATATAACCCTAATAGCATGTCCACATCCTAATAATATTTGAAATAAGAACCTTCTCTACTCTTTTGTATTAGAACTTTTATATTAGAATACTTACTTCTCATTTATCTGTGAGGAGGGAGAAAAAAAACCCACCAGACTTCAACTTACTTCATTATGAGTGGGCTAGTGAAGGACAGAATGTCAGCAACCACTTTGAATACGGCAACTTGAATCAGGACAGACTTAAAGGTATTCCACAATGCATAGAGTAGAGATGGTTTCTTGGTATGTGCCTCTTTATAAAAAGATGCCTACATAATTAAAGAAAATAGAAACAATGAGAAAATTGGACACAACTAATAGTAATAAAATGAAATCTATCTAAACAGATGATACAATTAACAATGTGCTCTGAAGACAATAAGTTAATAAGAAAGGAATCAATCAGTTAAACTTGAAATTATGACCCACATCATTGAGATGGTAGGTGGTGTTACTCATACCACATGGCATAAAAGGGCAAGTGCAATAGTTGCATTTTATTATTTTTGTGAGTTTTGAAACTACTTAATTAATATAAATACAGTTTTTATCTCCAAATTATATTTTCCTTTGGAGGAGTCTGAAAATAATATATATGCATAGGCATATATGATGCTAGAGGTGGAGTGTCTGCCCCTGATCCCATAAACTTTAATTTTGGCCACCATATAATTTGCTTTGACCAATAGACATGATGCTCTGAGACACAGAAGCTATCTTTGTCACCGCTGGTAAGGAGCCAAAGATATATGCATGCATATCAACACATGTGCTTCTGAACATTAAAGAGAAGCAGTGTTGAGTAGTTTGAAGACAGAAGTGGACTGCAATAGCAATGAATTATGCTTATAAAGTAGATTGTCATTTCACCTTTTAGGAATTTTGATATTAATAATAGTATCTCATACTTGAAAAAAGCTTTATCTAGTTTTCAGGTAGTGATTGCTTCAAGATTTAATAGAACTTTGTAATTAATTACCTTTACTTTTTGCCTCTCTTGATTCCTTAAAACTTCCTTTCTCCATTGTTTTTCAAAGATAGGGCACACAGTGTAGGAGGAATCACTTTCATTTAGTTCAAAAAGATCCTCTCTTTCCAAAGGTCTCTTATAGCCTAAAGTAATTACTCTAAAGATGAAAAAGTAAGGTAAACAAGATATAAAACAAATAATCTAGTTAAAAATAAATTATCATGCATTTACTTCTTTCTTTGATTTATACATTATTTTATTGATTAAAATACAATAAGGAGATTACATGTTTAAAAAAAAAATACAGTTTTATCCCGGAGGTCAATAATATGCAATAATCATTTATAGTTTTTATAAATGCTGTTTAGACATCCAATTATTCAGCAAAATACCAACTTCATTTATTCAGCTTATATTTGGGAAGTGTACCACTCAGCTCATTCACTACTTGACCTCACTTCCTAAAATTTAAATAGCAAACTTTCACAGTAGAATATTACCCTGACCACTCAAGTACCCACATTGGCTTTTAGGCTTGTATTGGAGGGGAAACGAATCCAACCTCTGAATTTGCAATTTTCTTCTGTTCCACTAGGACTTTCTGTACAATTTGCCACTTGACTTTATAGATTGTACAACTGGATGGGGAGTACTTGTCCCTATCCCATAAGCTCTGGCCTTGGCCTTATGACCAACAGAATATGAGCCAATGTGAGAGTGCAGTTTCTGAACTGATGCCTTAAGAAGCAAGGCAAGTCTCCACCAGTCTCTTAGTTTTTCTACCCTCCTCCATTCATTGAGCTTATCCTGGCTGACACTGGGAATAATTATGCAAGAACGGTGGATCTAAACTGGGAGGGAAACAAGATGCATAGCGTAGTTTTACCACAGAAGTTACTGTGGAGAGAACGAATTGCACTTACCTACAGCTCTGCTCTACCATCTTTCTGCTAACAGGGATCTGATATTTCTTCAGTTGCAAATCTCTTGAACTCATGGTCAGGTCTTATTTTAGCCACAGAGTTATGAATTATAATTGATCTAAATTAGTCCTGGTACTCTGATTACCCTCTGCTTGGGATTAATAATATAACTGAGTTATATTATTAATTATATTATTATGTTAGGTATTGCTAACAATACCTAAGCAAATATCTGCTAGGCAGAACTTTCCTTTTCAAATGAAAGCACAGAGCTTCAAAAGGAGAAAACATTTTGCCTGCCTTCTCCTTCCCTTGTGTCCTTTGAAGCCATGATGCTTTGAGATATAAAAGCCATCTTTGCCACTATGGATAAAAAGTCAAATAATAAGGATGGGAAGCAGAAAGACAGAAAAATGCAGACTCTTGCTCTGTTGCCCAGGCTGGAGTGCAGTGGATCAGTCTCTGCTCACTACAACCTCTGCCTTGTGGGTCCAAGCAATTCTCATGCCTCATCCTCCCAAGTAGCTGGGATTACAGGCACACACCACCATTCCTGGCTACTTTTTCTATTTTTAGTAGAGACAGGGTTTTGCCCTGTTGGCCACGCTGGTCTTGAACTCCTGGCCTCAAGTGATCTGCCTTCCTTGGCCTCCCAAAGTGCTGGGATTACAGGTGTGAGCCATTGTGACCAACCTAACCTGGGCCTTTCATAACATTTCCGAGATAGCTCAGCAACC